ATTTAACTCTATATTTTTAACGTGGCAAGACAACATCTTGACGAATATGATATTAGAAATAAAGTGACAGAAAATATTGACAACGATTAACATCAGTTTTAAAAACAGTAAAACTAATAACGTTAACCGCAAAATTCAAGATTTTATATCCAGTTGAATAAATAAATAGATAGATGACCTCTGGTGGCACTGCAGTAAGTTTGACAGCTTATAAACTTACATTCGGGGTTCGATCACTATTGTGAACACAGCACAGCTTGCTCATTACGCAGCTTTATGTTTAACAAACAGATAAATAAATGTATTCACTTAGCCCTAACCACACAGGAAAAAGATGTTATAACAAAACAACGTTTATGGACGATTAAGTGAACCGAACGAATTACTAGCCCCCTCCTCCCCCACAACAGTCATCACGTGAGTTTTAATAGTTATGTGCTTTTTCACCAGGGGTATCGTAGTTCATGATTTAAACAGTTCCACAAACAAGTCTATAGACTGATAAAATATAACAAACAGAAGTTTACGGTGAGCCTCCTGGTGGTAAGAAACAGTAGGCTTGAGATAGTTTTTATTGCTTGTAATTTTATTCGTTAAAGCAAAGCGCCGTAGCCTTACAGTAACGTGGATAATCTATTTTATCTATCGCAGGAGTAAACGTGGATAATCTATTTTATCTATCGCAGGAGTTAACGTGGATAATCTATTTTATCTATCGCAGGAGTTAACGTGGATAATCTATTTTATCTATCGCAGGAGTTAACGTGGATAATATATTTTCATTACGCTAGAACATTTAATTACTTATCTGTTTATAGACGAACTTTAAAAAAAGAGAGCTTAAAACATCCCAGAAGATCTATACTAGGAGTTTACGTGAGTGTAAAAACAGCCCAGAAGATCTGACCTACGAGTTAACGTCAGTGTAAAACAGCCCAGAAGATCTATACTAGGAGTTTACGTGAGTGTAAAAACAGCCCAGAAGATCTGACCTACGAGTTAACGTCAGTGTAAAACAGCCCAGAAGATTTATACTAGGAGTTTACGTGAGTGTAAAAACAGCCCAGAAGATCTGACCTACGAGTTAACGTCAGTGTAAAACAGCCCAGAAGATCTATACTAGGAGTTTACGTCAGTGTAAAAACAGCCCAGAAGATCTATACTAGGAGTTAACGTCAGTGTAATATTTTATTTCCCAAACGTAGCGAACACTGGATGATTCACATGACTATTGAGAACATTTATCTTAAAACGTAGTTTCATTAAGTTAATTGTGGTTCGTATTGCATAAACAATCGTACTGCGCGTGCCAAAACGTTGTAATAAAATATATTCCGTTAAATATTTGAATATAGTAAATAAAGGATTATGATATCTCGTTGTGTTATTGTTTTAACTCGCAGTGGAACATAGTTACATATTCTTAGTGAAAGCTGGTACTTGCTCGATGAATTTCAACACAACCCGTCACGGTATCTGAAATATTCAATCCGACACAGCAGAGATCTCTAGGGTACTGCTACAGCCGTCCCTAATCCTGAACTGCTGATCAGAAGGAAGGCAAGCTAGTCAACAGCATCCTTCAGTACTCTGACTCCCGAAACCTAATAACGGGACTGACTGTTACTTCGATCACACACCCACAGCCGAAAGTGTCACAGCATGTTCAGTGACATCGCGCCTCGAACCTTCAGATCAGAAGCTAACCATCAGGTCACGTCCAGCCCTTCACGAAGAAGAAAGCGTGTTTTTTTTTTATCATATAGTATTTTACAATTTGGCTCATTGAATAGATTATGAAAGATGGAAAGTGAACCCAACCGTCTCAAGGAGTAAGGTACGGCGGCTTGGGTTTTATTATAGTTTTCCTTACGATGTTGATAAAAACTACTGTTTCTGTCCTTTAGTTCATCGATGTTCATAATCTATGGGGAGTATTAAACATAAAACTAACTTTCATGAAAGCAACGTGTAATATAGAATAATTTTAATTTTGGGCCCTAGTAAGTGTTGTCTATAACACTAGAAGAATATTATATTGTGTGTAGAGCTTTGTTAATGCAGGGTTTTCATTGTTTACTATACGAAATGTTGTATGTGTTGTTACACCTGTAGTGATAAGGTGTTATTTGCAATAAAGTTGTGCTGTTATGTTTCGTTACTACAGTAGTATTATGGTGTTATGTTTAGTTACTACAGTAGTATTATGGTGTTATGTTTAATTATTGCAGTATTATTATGGTGTTATGTTTAGTTACTACAGTAGTATTATGGTATTATGTTTAGTTACTACAGTAGTATTATGATGTTATGTTTAGTTACGACAGTAGTATTACGGTGTTATGTTTAGTTACTACAGTAGTATTATGGTGTTATGTTTAGTTACGACAGTAGTATTACGGTGTTAGGTTTAGTTACTACAGTAGTATTATGGTGTTATGTTTAGTTACTACAGTAGTATTACGGTGTTAGGTTTAGTTACTACAGTAGTATTATGGTGTTATGTTTAGTTACTACAGTAGTATTACGGTGTTATGTTTCGTTACTACAATAGTATTACGGTGTTATGTTTCAGTTACTACAGTAGTATTATGATGTTATGTTTAGTTACTACAGTAGTATTACGGTGTTATGTTTAGTTACTACAGTAGTATTATGGTGTTATGTTTAGTTACTACAGTAGTATTACGGTGTTAGGTTTAGTCACTACAGTAGTATTATGGTGTTATGTTTAGTTACTACAGTAGTATTACATGTTATGTTTCGTTACTACAATAGTATTACGGTGTTATGTGTCGGTACTAGAGTAGTGGTATGGTGTTACGTGTCGTTATTAATTAGTGTTGTGTGTCGTCAATACCTGCAGGAGTGTTACGTGCCGTTACTGCAGTGGTCACTCACGCAGCTTCAATGCACGTGGGATGCTAAATATGCATTATAGAAGTATTAAAAATAAACCTTCACCCTCCCTCGTGCTGTTGTTTCAAGTGAGAACGCCCCGCTGTTTGCTCTAAAACTCATTGAAACCGGTTATTTGCTAATTTTATGCAGCTGGTGCAGGAGAACGTACAGCGTTGCTATGGAAACCTGGATCTTAATGACCGAAACTTCATCTAAATGAAATTGACTGATAAACAAGACTTATGGTAAAAATTTTCAGGTTTGGAAAGGAATGAACAGAGAAATTACTGACTTTTATGTTGCGAGGAAGAACGTGTAACAGTTTTACGTACATTATTTCACACTAGGCGAACATAAAACACAACGTAATTAGTCGGGAAGTGATAGAAAATGTTACCTTTACAACACAACATTAACAGAAGATATAACTGAAAGACAGACATTCCTAAATGCTCTCTCTATGGTAAAGACCTAATTTTGAACAGCCGACCAGCGTGAAGCCAACCGGCCGTCAGCACCCGCCCGCCGCGCCAAGTCTTAGGCTGTTCCTTACCAACGAATAGTGGGATAAAATGTTACGTTATAACGCTCCCCACGGCTCAAAGAACGAGCATGTTCAACGACGGGTTTTGATCCCGCGACCCGCATATTGTAAGTCGACCGTCCTAATCACTATAGAAGAAACAAAACGTGACTTGATTTCAAATAACGTAAAAAAAAAAAGGACACCACGGTTTACTGAAATATCAGATCTCTTTAGCTCAGAAAGCGACATCTAATGGACGTGCGTGTTTATAGATAAATGCTGGGGAGAACTTTAGATTCAAAGTAAGGAGGATTGAAGATGGTTGCTATATACACTGGAAGAATACACTATTATTAATTTTAACATCGTCTAAGTAAGGGGATATGCCCCCCACTTTCTCTGTTCAAACGCCTATAGATACGGTAAGTAACAAACAGTTTAAACACGTAAGAAAGCATATTTTTGTGACGTTTATATGACAGAAATGTTCAACAGTGTTTGTTATCTCTCTCCCACAAATCAGTTTGCCTGAAAACGGTGTTTGTTATCTCTCTCCCATAAAT